ATTAAGGAAACAAAGTAATTATGGTATGCATGACGATGGGATGCACAGGAGAAGGAGAGTGATTTAGATTTGAACTGAGAAGAAAGACAAGGAGGTGAAGGAGGTCAAAAGGATTCATCTAAGTCCTCAACTATTCATCTAGATTCGATTGTTATGAATATAAATGGTATTTGTGGTTTATTTTACATGTTTGTTTTACTTCTGACTTCAGCAAATTTGTTTCCTATATTAATGGAGATTTCATTTCTCTGAGTTTGCTAAATGAAATGGAAAAGTTCTGCATAATGTTTAACTAAAGAATTATTTTAATCCAATCCGTTTTTACTTTAGCTTTTACTTGTATTTACTTTTCCAAATATAAAACTTCACATTCACCTGCAATTACAAGAGATATTTTTTAATTTACCTGCACTTTCCATATACTCCACATGGGGGCACAGATTTTCAGAAAGGAGTGTTAAACTGATCTAAAGACTGAGGGATGCTTTCAGAAGTGGGATTTTGCCATACTTTCTTTTTATTTTGTATTTGTCCCTTGTCATTTAAATGTATTAATTAGTCTCAAACAGAAACACGGACAGACAGATTATGATCTGTTTTTTTTTTTTTTTTGCATTCAATTTTTTACACAAAAAACACAAAATTCTATGCAATTCATTGAAACTATATATGATAGACTAACAAAGTTGTTCAGAATTGTGAACTAAAAAGAAAAATAAAACTTGTTTTTATTGATTTATTTACATTTATAATTTTAACACAAACTTATTAAATAAAACTTTCATGAACCATATTTATTACATTACATAAACTTTATTTAAAATTAATAAACCTTATTCATTTGAAATTACACACTCATCAGGTTTATGTATTAATAAATAGTAAAGTATACTTTACTATACATTAATACTTTGAGTGAATTTAATTCAAATACAAACAGTTTATTGTTTGATTTGATAAATATGTCATTCTTCAGCATTTCAAGTTTGAGTCTTTTTCACTCAGTATCAATCTCTACACTAATGAGGGTATGTGTGTTGTATTCAGTGATCAGAAAAAATGCTCATTACCTTAAACATATCTGAAAAAGTAAATGAGGATTTGTTATGTATTAAAATTAAATAATTCTCAAAATTTTGGTGAAATGTTTCTGTGATTGAAGAGTAGGGGATTTATAGCTGATATTAACTTAAGTTTCAAGAAAGGCTTCAGTTAGTTTAAAACATTACCCTAAGCTTTGAAGATATGATGCTCTGTTTATCTCCTGTAATTAGACAGAATAGGACGCAACTGCAAACTAAACCTCTCCTCCAAAGGCCCAGAGGAGCATAGAGTAGAAAGTAGCACCGCTTAAACATCAAAAACTAGTCAAGAAATTACTCAATTAAATGTAAAAATGTATTTGGTTTGAAGCGACTCACGTGCAGAGTAATTGTTGGATCATAATATCTGATTTAATATTTAGAAATTATAAAGATAGACTTTATGTAAAAGTTCCTATATTTTAGGGACTAAAATACAAAGAAGATATCATTTTTCAACATCTGTTTTATTTCATCAAATTATAAAACCAATTTTTCCAGTTAGAGTTACTTATATTTAGAGCTGCAGGGTGAAGAACTTCCATTGAAAATTGAAAATATCTACTGTTTACTGTATATTCGCCTGTTCATGGAATAGCTCATGTTGCTTCCAGTGTACAGAGTAGCCAGAGATCTCACTCAAGTAGGAGTAATGATACTTAAAAAAATATTAAATAAGAATACAATACAATAGAATACAATATACAATAAGAAACACAGGACAGATGAACTACTCCTTGGTCTGCATCTTTCAAAAAGTTGCTCAAGTAAATGCAAATGGGTAAATTTAACTATTTACTATCCGCCTCTGTGGTGGTCTAAATTGAGATGCTGAGCAAAGGCAGAATTAATCAGCGAAGCATTCATAATACAGAGTATCCCATTACAAGTGGCAAAAGAAAACTATTTAAAAAAATAAATAGCAAAAGCTTTAAAAAAAAGTCACATTTACAGTTTGACACTGCTCATAGAGTAGGCACAGAGTATAAGAAAGTGCTCCTCTCAGATGAGACCAATATCTTTCTGACTTACAGGTATAACAGAATGTTACCATTATGTTTTGGCAAACCTTTAATTAATTGTTTACTGATGATGACTGTTTAGTCTGAGCTTGGGTTGTTTTTAAAATGAGAACGGACTAAATTGAATCTGTAGACTTGCTAAAGTTGTCATGATCTGCCTTGATAGCTCATCTTAATTGCTCATTTCACTCAGCTGCCTAACTCTGCCTGGTTCCTGATCATTTCTCAACTTATCCACCTGCGTCTGTTGCTTTATATTCTGCTTAGCCCAGCTGTTGGGGCCAGATCATTGTTTGACGCTTGTTTGTTTCGTTAGATTTTAGTTATTCCAGAGTTAATTTTCCTGTTCTTTGAGGCCAGTCGTTTAGAGCCCAGGTCTACAACATGGGGTTGGCGACCCCTAGGGGGTCCACGGAGGTACTGGATGGGGGTCGAGAAAGTTTTGGTTGATTAGACTTTTTTATTTTTATTCCACCCTTCAATTTTTGCAGCTAATTGAAAAGTCATTAAATACACATTCAAATGAATTAAACACACTGTAGTAAACAGATAAATGGAGGCAGAAGATGTCTTTCAGTCATCAATGCACACATTCAGCGACACACAGGAGCTCTTTCAAACTTGGTACTGTTTCATTCACAACACCTGTCCCATCAACCAGGAATCAGAATCAGAAATACTTCAATAATTTAAAATCCTCCTTCTCACATATAAAGCCTTAAATGGCCAAGCTCCATCTTATATCAGAGATCTGATTGTTCCTTATGTTCCTAACAGAGCACTTCGCTCTCAATCTGCAGGTTTACTAGTGGTTCATAGAATTTCTGAAAATAGAATGGGAGGCAGATCTTTTAGTTATCAGGCTCCTCTCCTGTGGAAACAACTACCAGTTTTAGTCCGTGAGGCAGACACCCTGTCTACTTTTAAGGCTAGGCTTAAAACTTTCCTTTTTGATAAAGCTTATAGTTAGATTGGCTCAGGTTATCCTGAGTTGTCTCTATAGTTATGCTGCTATAGGCTTGGACTGCTGGAGGACATAGGGACCCCCATTTCATCATTCTGCTTCATTCTCTCTCGTTTCTCCTATTCTGCAGAATCTGTTCAATCTCTAACGTTCTGCTCTCTCTGCTTTTCCTCAGAGTAGCTTTGCCTCGTCTGTTCGTGTTAAGCTGTGACGCCATCCTAGAGAGAAACATCAGCTGTGCTGCCGCCATCAACACCCTTGTTTATAGATGCTGAAGATCGGCCTGTTTTCCAGTGTAGTCCTGTTTCTCTGACCGTGACTGGCTGGATGTGCTCTCTTCGTCCTCTGGCATGGGAGCTCGCACGGAGCTCGTCTGCCTGGCTGTGTGTTTCCTGGATGGGGCCGCCTTTTACAGCTGCTTTTTGTGTCTCTGCTTCTGTCTCCTTGAACCCCAGTCGGCCTCGGCAGATGGCCGCTCACACTGAGCCTGGTTCTGCTGGAGGTTTCTTCCTATTAAAAGGGAGTTTTTCCTCTCCACTGTCGCTACAAGCATGCTTAGTGTGAGGGACTGTATTTGAGTCAATCAGTCAATGCAATCAACTGGTTTTCCTTAGACAGAAAACTTTGAATTAATTTGACTGTATGATCTGGTTGAACTGTAAAGTGCCTTGAGATTACTTGTGTTGTGAATTTGGCGCTATATAAATAAACTGAATTGAATTGAATTGAATAATCCCAGGGCGAAAATACTTTTGTTACATTACTCCATATGTAATACATTGACTATAGGACCAGTTTCATATAACACAATTTCATACAATATATTTATAATTAGGGGGTCCCATCTCGCCATCATTGCCTGGAAAACATTGAAGACCCCTGGTTTAGAGGGTTTTAGTGTTTGTCTTGTCTCCTGATCGTGCCCTGGCTCCTAGGTGGGGTACAGTTTTAGGTCCTGCAAGCCTGGTTCCTAGGTGGAGACCAGTCTAAAAAGTTCTGCAGATATCCTGGTACCATGACTTGTCTCTGTCCCTCAACTGCTGAGCCTGCCTGTCTGCATCTGTGGGTGCCTCATGGAACTCTGAACATCCCTTCACACTCATTGGATTCCTGGAACTCTGAATCTGTCTGTTCCTGTGTGGATAAGAACCCCTGACTGGGCTGCAGACTCCTGGATTCCAGAACTGTTCTGTCTGATCTGTTTTCCCTGACCTGGATCAGTCTCCTGGCTGCTCACTGGGGTTGCTGCACTGGGAACACTATGCTGCGTCGCAGCTCATTTGACCGTCCACCAATTAGATCAGGGGTGTCAAACTGGTTCCAGAAAGGGCCGTGTGGCTGCAGGTTTTCTTTTCAACCAATCAATAGCACACCAGACTCCATTCATCTCATCAAGTGAGTCCAATCTGAACATGATGACTTGATGAGATGACTGGGGTCTGGTGTGCCATTGCTTGGTTGGAAAGAAAACCTGCAGCCACACGGCCCTTTCTGGAACCAGTTTGACATCCCTGAATTAGATCCTGCCTTCCTCGAAGAGGATGGACTGAACTGTTAAACCAGATTTTCAGTGATTGGGCGGCTATCCCCCCAAAAAGAGGGTAAATAAAAACTAATGACTGCTCTTAAAAGCATTTCTATAAAATTCTTACATCATATTACTTAAATTATGGCTTAATTATAATATAATATAATATAATATAATATAATATAATATAATATAATATAATATAATATAATATAATATAATATAATATAATATAATATAATATAATATAATATAATATAATATAATATAATATAATATAATATAATATAATATAATATAATATAGATTTGATTTAAAGCTGTTGAACAAAACTCTATTTCCCAGGATGCTTCACTGTTAAATGCACGTGTCAACGTTGCCACCGGACCGGACTGAACGTCACATTCCTGCATTCCCTTTTCCTTCAGCGTGAGACGTCGGAATTGCCACAGGACTGCTAATCTCCTTCCTCTCTCATTTTCTCTTGGACAAACACTCATGACACGGTGGATTTGATTTCGCAGTGTGATCCGGGGTTCTCCAAGGACCAGAATCTCCATTTGGTAAGGATTAACCAACAGCTGAAAACGGTTTTCAGTTGGAGTTCTTAAAAAAAGAAAAACCGCTGAAACCAGACAACACTTTGATACTGGGAGCAGCCAGGACAGAATGGTGTGTCTGTGAGCAGACTGGTTATCATTTTACAGCCACTGGCGCAACCTGTTGAAGTGTTAATGTTTACACAGAGCATTTTGAAATTCGTATTTGCGGTCTGTTGTTATTGTTGTGTGATGCTAACGTTAGCCAGCTGGTTAGCTGCAAAGCTTGCGTCACCATTGTTACCGGCGGACAGAGACGGACGGACCGGGGCGTGGAGGCGGATTCAGATGCAGATCTGTTACTTTATCATCGCCTTTGTGTTGCAGGGGTTTGTAACCATATTAACATCGTCACTCCAGCATGCAGTACTGCTATTATTCTAAATGGGTGTGGTTAGGTGGTATAAACATGTAAACTCACAATCATTGTAGTATTTCAGTTTATCTGCATTGAGCTAGCTTCATATCAGTCTCAGCTGATGACCCCTCACAACAAAGAGAAGATCACTGCTCTGCTGCAGCTGTTCAAAGACCACAAGTGGATCAATAGTATCTGTAACACAGCAGTTAAAAAAAAAAAGAAACAAACCGGATGTAATGGTTATATTACTGGTTATTACATGTTATTAACTTAACCTCCAATATTTAAAGTCTCTATATGATAATGTTGACAGTCCTGTCATTACTTAACTGTTACATAACCTCTGAAGCATGTGCACACAGGTCCTGATTGTTACATTAAAGCTGAGTCCAGTTTTCTTCATTCCTAGCGTTCCTGTTTTCAATGCATCAGATTTACTTTGGTGAAATACAAGAATGTTGGCAGACTTTTTTTTTTCTAAAAGAGACTGCATTAGGATTGGGAATTGATAAGATTTTCACGATTCCGACTCCCTTATCCTGTGAAAATATTTGATTCCTTATCAATTCTCGTCACAGTCTTAATCTAATGGAGAATTTGTTTAATGAAAAAGCATTACTGTAAAATTTCAAGATATAAGCTCATCTCCCCCTGATTTAAATAAAGGAGCGTCACCTTTCCTCGCTCCATGAACTGCGGAGCAATTTCGGAGCATGTTTCGTTATATCCATTGCAATAACTAGAATCAAGTACGAATTCCACCTACTAGTAGTTCTAATTAAACATGCTTTGAAGGGCTGGATTTACCAGAAAGGCACACTCCCTTAATAACCCCAAAGAGAGGTAGGAAATTGGTTTATTTCCAGAAATGGCATATGATTTACTAGGAATCACATTAAGCACAGCCCGTGATATAAAACTAGCTACTTACCACCAGAGTTGCCTTCCATGCTGGTCGTAACTTTAGCTTCTGTCCGAAGCATCAAAAATACGGCATTCATTAAAATGTATGCCATGTTGTGTGCGCAGGTGTTTCTGCATGTTTGACAAATTTCCTCCCGCTGTTGTGATACCACTTTGCAATGATTGCAAAGCGCCTTGTTGCCATCTTTTTCTTTCTTAAAATGAATCCAAACATTCGATCGCTTTACCACATGGGACGCCATTATTTTTATTTTTTTTTTTTGCTTTTCTAGACTTACGCCTGGTCACGTCGTACTTGCTTACTGAATGCCGTGTGCATAACTTGCGTATAAAACGTGCTGCCCAGCGCTAGGCTCTGGTGCTGCCTGGAATTGTTAAGAGAACCGTTAAGCGAGCTGCCAAACGGTGCCATGGAATTGGAACAAATCTGGTTTTCGATTCCCATCCATAGAGAACATGTCTCTAAAGAGAAGGCTAGGGTTGTTTGATATATCCACGTGAATAAAAGTCTATTTGTAGGGTATTAAAAGCACACCAAATAACAGAATACATTGACCCATATCAATTAAAGAGAGCGAAGTGCTCTGTTAGGGACATAAGGAACAATCAGATCTCTGATATAAGATGGAGCTTGGCCATTTTAGGCTTCATATGTGAGAAGGAGGCTTTTAAATTCTATTCTTGATTTAACAGGGAGCCAATGAAGAGAAGCCAGGATATTAATTTTCATCAGAACTCTGGCTGCATTAAAAAGAACTTTTTGATGCAATTGATTTATGTTAAAAATGATATGTCATTTATACTTCTGACGCTTAGCCTCTGCAGCCGTTAAATCGGTCTCTGTGTGTGGCCACGCCCCCCGAGCAGAGACTCTGCAACCGTCGAAGCACACCTAAAAAAAGCCTGACTACACGTCCGAGGGTCGCAAACCCACGCAGACCTCAAGCGGAAGTGCGCAGACAAAAGGAAGCTGTGATTTGTCCTTGGTATGCCTTTCCGGCTGTGTGTGTGGTCGTCCTTCTCGATTCAGTGCCAGGGCGCGCCATTTTTAAATTAATAACAACAATGGATAACCACAGCGAGAGGTTGATCTAGGAGGTTCGGAAGTACTACCACTTGTACAATGCCTCAGACGTGTTTTGAAAAATTAACACTCCCGCCACCGCCACCGAAGAAGTTCTCGTGACCATCCACCAAAGTTCTCGCGAATTCTCCAATAGGCTCCCCCTTGCGCTTTGGCGGGAAACTGCTGTGCTTACCTTGAAATTCCAGACCGACATTGCTGAAGCATACCAGCAAAACTGGTTCGCGACCAGACGCAAGCGACATTTGATGTGTGCGGTTGCAGAAGTATAATCCGCCCTTTAGTCTGTTTTATTCTGTTAAGGTCTCAGCCTCAGTTTGTTATTGAAAAACTTGGGTTTGGAAATATTAGTAGCCTATATCAATAAGTAAACTTAAGGTACACACTACAGAGCCAAGTGATTAACCTTCTAGATCTGATGAATGATGCAGTGAAATGAAACATCTCTGTATAGCTCTATAAAATATTTCTATAAAAGTTTGCTTTGCATAATGGAACTTAGGAGTATCATATACACTTTACCGGTAATTGTTCAGTTAGGATGTCAGTGTTACAGTAAAATGTTTTTCTCTCCATGTTTTTTTTTAGCCTTAGCGCATGTCCAACTGGGATTGATGCTGCTGCTGTTACACTGCTGCAAACATATGAGCATGACCAGCAAATTAGCTTCAAACAGGCCTACGGTGCAACGTGTATTGCATGGATGCTGTGTTTTAAAGGATGTGGAGGCTGAACAAACTCAGCTTTATGAGGAGGAGAGAGTGGGAGCAGTCAGCAGAAAACAGAAGCACCCTGAGTCACAGAGCGTCGCAGTGATCCATTCTTTTTTCAGTGGGAGCTGCTGCTCATTAGCTTGCTGTTGCTGCATGGACGAGTGTGTGGGAAAAGTGAAATGAGTAGTGATTACATATTTGATGATTCAGGAAAACAAAACACCGGCTCAAAGGTGAGAAATCAGAGCAGTTACAAAAAAAAAAAAAAATAGATAAATTGCTGGTCTACAACAAAATGAAAGATAATTTACTGTGTTATTAATGAATTTTCTGTGGCTTATTGTTTGCTAGCATGCTGCTGTTTGTTTTGCCATCATCTCAGATGTTTGGGTCTAAGAAGTAATGGCGACATCCTCTCTGGAAAATAACCTGCATTGCCTCTTTGTTCCTGTTGGAATATTGGGAATTATTCCATGACTGTGCATAGATACGGACAACATGGCTTTGTGGGGCTACAGCCTGAATGGTGCCACAGTTCTGCACATGCCCAATCCTCTGCTATTAGGTCACAACAGAGACATAGAGAAACAACGGGGTTATTGTTATAATGGTGCACATAAGTTAACACACCCCCCTGACCCCTCGTGTTGCGTTTAAAGGTTATTTGCTGCAGGTGGGTTTTCATCTGGTCTCCCATGTGTTTCCTACCAGTAAATATCTACTGAGAAAATATGTGATGCAGGTTCTCTGCTGTACCGACTTAATGTATATTCAACAGTTACAAGCAGACAGACAGAGAGTTTTAGCACAGGTTCTGTGACATGAAAAAATATTTACCTCCCCTTGTTGTAGCTTTAAACTCTAATTATGGCTTCAAACTCGAAAGCATTTGAGGAAAGAGGAGTCACCAATGACTTATACAATTAAAAGTTTCTCCAAATCCATAAAAAAAATGTATGTATTTAATTCATGTTCTAAATAGATGAACATCTATCGTTGTTTTTAGTTGTCAGTTTAAGGAGATTCTACAATATATTGTTGCTCTAATAGGTCTCTCTATGAAAACCTTAAGCCCCATGAGTAGTTTTCTTAGACGAATTAGACCAGATTAGACGAATTATCAGCTCCGCCTGTATAGGCTGAAATCATTGACTCGGTCTCCTACTGGGAAGGCCGATTCTACATTTCCTCTATTTGGGATGAGAGGATTATAGTTCTCACCACTGCAAACCACTACTGCAGGGGTCTTCAACATTTTCCAGGCCAAGCACCCCTAAACTGATGGCGAGATGGAGCGGGGGACCCCCTAATTATACATATATTGTATGAGATTTTGTTATATCAAACTGGTCCTATAGTCACTCTATTACAGATGGAGTAATGTAACAAAAGTAATTTCACAGTGGGATTATTAAAGTATTTGTGATTCTGATTCCTGGTTAAGGTGTTGTGAATGAAACGGTGCCCAGCTTGAAAGAGCTCCTGTGTGTCGCTGAATGTGTGCATTTAAGACTGAAAGACATCTTCTGCCTCCATTTATCTGTTTACTACAGTGTGTTGAATTCATTTTAATGTGTATTTTAAGACATTTCTATTAGTGGAAAAAATTGCAGGGGGGGAATATTAAAAAAAAGTTTCATCAACCTAAACTTTCGCGACCCCCATGCCGTACCTCCATGGACCCCCTGTTGAAGACCTCAGCACTACTGGATCTGCCTGTTGTAGCTTGACCATTAATGATGTTGCCTTGCATCAATAAAACCCAAGGTCACATTTAAAGTTAAGCTAGTCAGTTTTTGTTTTGGTGTTGAAATCTTTCTAGACTCACCACATAGCAGTCATCCGCTGTCACCAAAAAATGAGAGGATGCTTGCTGTGGTCT